CGGCACACAGGCCCCATCGGTCTCCTCGTGGCCTTCGGGGCACACGCAGATGAAGCTCCCCGGGGTGTTGTAGCAGTTCTCATTCTCCCGTGCACACGGCGTCTCCGGTCGCGAGCACTCGTCCACGTCTGCAACACAAACGCCCAGGCTGACGGGCTACTGCCTTTAATGAGTACCCGCGTCACAGGCCGGGATTCTCGCATCAACAACGCGCTTGCATAAAGAAAACACGAAGGTCGAGTCAGAGGGGGTGCGGAGGTCAGGAGGGGGGGGGACCTCACGTGTGTCAACCACGAAAGTGGGATGCCCCAAGAGCTCATGTGGACACCCTGGGCTGGTCCTGACCCCAGAGGGCTTAGCCTCCAACTGCGTAGACGAGAATGACCAGTGGTGATGCAAGGCCCTGACACCTGGGCCGGGCTGGACCTCCCCACCCACGTGCTCTGCATCTGTGAGCTACAAAAGAAGCCTGGTCCGGGGACGGTCTGAGCCCAGGTTCTCATCACCCACCCAGGGCTCTCATTCCTGCCACAGTCCCGATGGCCCTGATGAGGCTCCCTGAAGGGACGTCACTCCGGCACAGGAATGCCACCCACCTGAGCACTGGCCGCTCTCCTCCTTGGCGTAGCCGGGGACACACGCAATGCACTTCCCCGGACCTTTGCCCGTGCAGCCCACACACGTAGAGTCGCACTCTAGAAATGGGAGGACACAAAGACGAGAGCGTCAGACCGAGCTCCAGGTCAGAGCCCGACCCACGGCGGGGACGTCAGACCGAGCTCCGGGTCAGAGCCCGACCCACGGCGGGGACGTCAGACCGAGCTCCGGGTCAGAGCCCGACCCACGGCGGGGACGTCAGACCGAGCTCCGGGTCAGAGCCCGACCCACGGCGGGGACGTCAGACCGAGCTCCGGGTCAGAGCCCGACCCACGGCGGGGACGTCAGACCGAGCTCCGGGTCAGAGCCCGACCCACGGCGGGGACGTCAGACCGAGCTCCGGGTCAGAGCCCGACCCACGGCGGGGACGTCAGACCGAGCTCCGGGTCAGAGCCCGACCCACGGCGGGGACGTCAGACCGAGCTCCGGGTCAGAGCCCGACCCACGGCGGGGACGTCAGACCGAGCTCCGGGTCAGAGCCCGACCCACGGCGGGGACGTCAGACCGAGCTCCGGGTCAGAGCCCGACCCACGGCGGGGACGTCAGACCGAGCTCCAGGTCAGAGGCCCAGGCTCTTTGCTCATCGAGCACGAGGGGCACTGAGGGTGTTCTCAACTCCCTTTATCATCCGTTTCCTACAGAAGTACTGATTTACTTCAACAGTGGAGTTCCCGAAGAGCTGCAGGTAAAGCAAGCAGAGAAGGAGAAGCAGTGTTCACACCGCCCTCCTCAAAATCCTCTGGTTAGTGAAAATGGGCATGTTGGATCTTCTCAAAATAAGAGACATCAGAGTTTGGGGATGTTGGCTTACTCCCTAAAAAAACCTAAATCAGCTGCTGTCCAGTCAGTTCTGACTCGTGGTGTCTCCATGTGTGTCAGAGTAGCGCTGTGCTCCGTAAGGTTTCCAAAGGCTGATTTTTCATGAGGCCTTTCTTCAGAGGCACCTCTGGACAGACCTTTCGGTTAGCAGCCAAGGGCCTTAAGAAGAAGAGCTGAATGGAGGGGCGCCTAGCGACATCACTACAAACATTAAAAAGATTCGAACCACCCGGTGGTGTCACTGAGCGAGGCATCATGGCCCTCAGGGGGCAGGAGACCCTAAACGACATGGCCCTAGAACAGCAGTCCCATCTGAGGACACCAACCCAGACAGAATGATGAAGAACATGGGAAGTTTTAGCTACAAAGACATTCAAAGTACATAACCGAGAAAAAAAAAAAAAACGGTAACTTAAATGTCCAACAACAGGGATTGCTCAAGACAGCTAGAAAACAATGATGTGCTTTGTAGGTCATGTGAGGCAGATGCTCAGAGGTGTCGGGACCGAGAGCAGATCACAGAGCGCCACGAACAACACGTGTGGGTGCTGACCACCTCCGCGGAGCCACGAGTCCTGGCGGGGGACGTGAAGGCTCAGCGCTGACTGCCTATGCGGAGCTGCAACTCTTGGCGGGGGAATGGAGGGACTATTTTTATTTTCTGCTGTCATGGTTTGAATTATGTCCCCCCAAAAATATGTGTGTATCAGTTTGGCTGGGCCATGATTCCCAGAATTGTGTGGTTGGCCTCAATTTTGTGATTTTATGTTAAAGAAGTTCAGGGTGGGATTGTAACACCACCTTTACCCAGGTCACGTCCCTGATCCAAAGTAAAGGGAGTTTCCCTGGGATGTGGCCTGCACCACCTTTTCTCTCTCAACAGATAAAAGGAAAGGGAAGCAAGCAGAGAGTTGGGGACCTCATACCATCAAGAAAGCAGTGCCAGGAGCAGAGTGCGTCCTTTGGACCGGGGTCCCTGTGCTGAGAAGCTCCTTGTCCAGGGGAACACCGAAGAGAAGAAGGCCGACAGAGAGAAAAAGCCTTCCCCTGGAGCTGATGCCCCGAATTTGGACTTTTAGCCTACTTTAAGTGTGACAAAATAAACTTCTCTTCGTTAAAACCATCCACTTGTGGTGTTTCTGTTATAGCAGCGCTGGATGACTAAGACACCTGCTTTTTAACTGACTTGGATTTCCTGAGTTCTTTGAAGCAAGTATCTATTACTCGTGTTGCTGCCTTAAATTTTTTAAGTAGGTGGCCTATATAAAAGTCATGCTAGTGGGCTGCAAGTAAACTCTTAAAACAGAGGAAATACATTGAGCAGGGCCTAGAACCAATCTGAACCGGTTCAGTCATGGCTGACGAAGCGAAATCGGAACAGACCCGAATTTTTACAATTTGGGTGATCCGACTGGTAACCAGAGCAGGAAAAATTACAGGTCGAAGCCCTGAAATGGGAGACTCGGAAGAGGCATGGTGAGTCCTTTCAGGAGCATGATGTGTGGGATTGGATTATTGGCAGGACTGTGAAGAGCAATGCACATTCAGAGAGGCACGGTGTGCCACCATCTCTGAGTCGGCCACCACTGTTCTCGACTCTGTGCAAAATCTGAAGGGCAAGAGATTTGGTTGCTAGGCAATGCGTATGCTGCTCTTGTTTCCTAAGAGGGAAACTGAGTTTCTAGCAGGGCTTCAACCTGTAATTTTTCCTGTTCCTGTGACCATTCTGGTTCACCCAAATTCTAAAAATTTGGGTCTATTCTGGTGTCGCTTCCTTGGCCCTAACTGAACCAGGAAGAACCAGTTCAAATCCCTGCCTGGGCGTGAGCACTGCCCTCCCTGAGGACTCCGCTGGGACCCCACCCCTCTGATGACCCCACCCCTCTAGAGAGACCCCACCATCCAGGACCCCACCCCTCCGGACGAGGGACCCACCTTCGCATGTGTAGGAGCCGGGGACGTTCTCACAGTACTGGCCCTCACTGCACGGGGGCGTCTCCTCTGCACACTCGTCCACATCTGGAATAGACGCAGCATAAGTGAGTGCCCGCAGCCCACCCACCTGTGGACCCCAGGGCGCCCAGCAAAGGGACGCCTTCAAGAGGACGCGGTCACAGCTCCTGTACTTTCTATGAAAACGCGGCTGGCAGCAGGCTTCAACTGTGACTAACAAATCACACGTCTTTCCTACCAGTTACACACTGGACTTCCTCTTTCAATGGCTCAGCGGGTTTCGGTGTTGCAAATGCAGGTTTCGGAGCCCTAAACACGGTCACCGATGTGACCTAACACAAAAGCTGCCTTCCCCTTGCTCAAGGACACAGAAGCCTTAGTCTGAGACTCACCGACCTTCTCTTCTTTCAAATTCCCATGAAAGAGGAGTACCGAGTTCTCTTACTGGTTTAGGGAACAGAAACTGGTAGATGAATCCCCACCCTTTAGTGGGGCATCCGCTACCACTTATGGTGAAAACGTCTGAGAAAACGGACCTCCCCTGCACCACACACCAGTTCTGCCCCCACCTCAGAGCATGTCCGACTCTGAGGAGCCCCGCCGCCCAGCTCCAGGCACACGCAGGCACGGTGCACCGACAGCCAGCCTGCAGATGTAGCCGAGGAGGAGGGTGGAGGCGCCCAGCCACTTCAGTTGAGAGAAGGGTCTTTACCTTTGAAAGCTCTGCAAACTATCTGCTAACTCCAGCCTCAAAGTAAAGTTCTTTGGAACCGAGGGCCAGAGAAGGGAAGTGGCTCCAGAGTTGCTTAAACCTCTGGTCTTGGAAGCCCCGCACAGTGAAGAGGTGCAGGTATGGGTTACAGGGTGCACGGTGAGGGAGTGCAGGTGTGGGGTGCAAGGTGCATGGTGAGGGAGTGCAGGTGTGGGGTGCAGGGTGGTGAGGGAGTACAGATATGGGGTGCAGGGTGCATGGTGAGGGAGTGCAGGTATGGGTTACAGGGTGGTGAGGGAGTACAGATATGGGGTGCAGGGTGGTGAGGGAGTGCAGGTGTGGGGTGCAGGGTGTACGGTGAGATATGGGGTGCAGGGTGCATGGTAAGGGAGTGCAGGTGTGGGTTACGGGGTGCACGGTGAGGGAGTGCAGGTGTGGGGTGCAGAGTGAGGAAGGTGTGGGGTACAGGATGGGGGTAGAGGTGCAGGGTGAGGGGTGCTGGGGTGTGTGGGGGGAATAGCAGAGGGTGCAGGGTGGGGAGGTGCAGAATAGGGGGGTGTGGGTACAGGCTGTGTGATGGGCAGATGCAGGGCCGGGGGGTGTGGGCTGAGTGGTGTGGGGTGCAGGGATGGGGGGTGACAACCCCACACCCCGAGTTATCGGACGTTTAATGTTCGCCTGTGGAGGGGCAGCTTCAAGGACGTGAGCAAAACGGACAACGACCACTATGTGGGCACTGCACATCAGGGTCCATCCGGTGCTCCGGCACAGCCTTGAGAGGCCCCACAGTCCCGAGAGGGACAACAGTGTCACTATTGTCACCGTTCCTACTTTAGATGTGAAATACGGTGAGGACACCCTAAGGTTGACAGATGCCGTGGCGTGAAGCCGAAACCCGGCCCCACCAAGAGTCCTGGACCATGCGCACAGCTGGGCTGAGCTCCAGGTCAGGTCAAAAGGGAAGGCATAGAAGAGCCACGGTGGCCACCACAGAGGGAGAGGAGCAGAGAGACCCCCACGTGGGGAACTAAGGGACGGGACAGCCACGGCGGCCACAGAGGGGGCGGAGCAGAGACCCCCACGTGGGGAACTAAGGGACGGG